CAGAACCCGAGGCAGGCTCCAGGCTGCGAGCTGTCCGCACAGAGCCCGACGCGGGGCTCGAACTCACAAACCGCGAGATCGTGACCTGAGCCGAAGTCGGATGCTCAACTGACTGAGCCACCCGGGTGCCCCTTCTGTTTATTCATTTAACTTTTAATTATTTTGAGCCCTCTTGAGCCCACCAGTCAACCCAGGGAGCTAGAACATTCCAGCTCACAGGGCCCCAGGAGACTCAGGACCCGGCCCTGCTCCCGCACCCACCACCTGCCTGGTCCTGTCTAGTTAGTTTTACTAAATCTCACGTGTAGTTTCGTCTAGTCCTCCTCGTCTTGGACGTTTAACAAAGAGAGTCCGTCAGGTTGGCTCCGGGGACTCGCTGTTTTCTCTGGCCGTCCTGTGACGCATCAGGTCGCGGTATGCGGCCCTGGGCCCTGTCCCCCGCGCCACAGCTCCCTGTGGGTCAGCGCTCCGAATGCCCACCCCCACCTGGGAGTCGGGGGTCTCGGCCCCGCTTTGCAGAGGGGAGGCCCCGAGCGAAGCCTCCGGCCCGGTGTCCCAGCCGGTCGGTGGTGGGGCCGGGACCCCATCCCATGGGAGTCAGCGGGGCATTGGGGGTCCCGGGGCCTGGCCCTGCACTGACCCGGACACCCCAGCCCTACCGGCCTCAGTTCCCTGCAGGGCTCCATCCCCGCTTTGCGGACGCTGGGTGGGAGACCTGGATGCGTCTCTACCCCGACCTGGCCCGGAGGCTCTGGCGTCCCTGATGCCGAGCTGCTCGGGGCACGGGTGCCTTGCTGGCTCTGTCCCCCGTCCCCGGTGGGGTTGGTGGCTGCAGAAAGCTGGGTTTTCTGCCATGTGGAAGAATTCCCTCCTCGAGCACCCCCGGGTCCCGGGGCCCTGGGCGTCACTGCGGCGTGGGAACCCGGCTGGCAGTCCTGAAGCAGGGTTTGGGCGGAACAGTGTCCAGCCGTGGCCCCTCTGATTATTATTTCCTAAAGCTGAGGCCTGGAGCCCGGCCCCAGAGCTCGGCTGGGCCCTTGGCCCTGCACACGCCAGGGTGGGCGATGACCCACACGCGGCTCCACACCCAGAGCCACCTTCAGACCCAGGGCTGGCGCCATCCGGGAGGGCTGAGGCCCGGTTCTGATCCAAAGTGGCCACGCCAGAGTCCACGGGGCACGGTGGGAGGGCTGCGGTTCGTCCTTGTCCTCGCGTGGGCCCAGGGCAGCCCGCTGCTGGGGACACAGCTGATTACGGCTCTCCCCTGTCCTGACCTGTCACCCTCTTGAGGCCCAGGCTCCAGGGGGAGGGGGGGGCACTCAGATGCCCTGGGCAGGGCACCTCGATCCGGCTGAGCCCCAGGGAGTGAGCAGTGGCAGGCCTGGGGCAGCGGACGCCCCGGCAGAGGCTTCCAGAGGGAACACGCTTGGTGTCCTGGGGGATGGAGAGGGGCCAGGGACAGTGGGAAGGAGACCGCGTGGGGAGGGATGGGCAGGGCACAGGGTCTCCGAGCCTCTGAGTGGGAGGGGTTTCAGCGGGGCCGTGGCCTCTGAGATCTTGTCTGGAACCCTCCGGCCAGGACCGGTGAGGGGGCGTCCATGGCCGGATGCCCGGGCACAGGGTGGGGGTGGGGGGGGGGCATGGGCTTGCTCCTGCCTGTGTCTCCTGCGCTCTCTGGCCCCTCTTGGGGGCAGTCCTGGTTCCAAGCCCAGCTTTCTTCACCTCCCTGGGCCTTGATGTCCTCGTTTGTGATGAGATGGTCACCCCCGTCTCGTGGACAGTTGTCATGACTGACTGGGAGCTTGAGGACGCCCCCCCTCCTTGTCCTGAGGCCTCCTGGGCCCCTTGTTTGTGAATGGGGGGGGGCTCGGGTTTCACGCATGCCCCACCTCACCCACACCCCCGGCCGGCAGGTGGAGGCTTGACCGGACTGCCCTGGACCGGCCCCGCGTCTGGGCCGTAGGTGCCGTGATGGAGGGGTGGCCAGAGCTCCCCGGGACGCTGACCTGCTTTTCTAACCAGAGCCCACGGGTCAGGCTTTCCCCCGGAGTGCGATCCACCCCACCACTGACCGTGGCTGATCGGCGATGCCGTCACGTGGAGGGGGCGCCGGCACGCCGGCCTTGGTTGGGCCTCTCCGTCCAGGGGGATCCGCTGAGGGCGGGGGTGCTGGCTCCGGGGGGCCTGCAGAGGCCTTCTTAGGTCTCGGTGCTTTGGGGTTCGCAGCTACCATTTCCCAGGAGACAGGCAGGAAGTGGGAGGGGCACAAGAGTGCCTCCAGCTCTGTGTCACCCTGGTGTCACCCCCCCCACCCCCCCACTCCGCCCACACGGTTTGTTCTTGGAGAGGAGAGAATGGTGGCCCAGAGAGGGGAGGGATCTTGCCTGAGGTCACACAGCGACTTGGTCAGTCCTCCGATTCCCCAGTAGGGTCCCCATCTAGTCTCCCGGCTTTTGCGCATTTCCTGAGGAGGTCTAGGTCTGCTAACCCACCGACTTGGCCTCCTTCCGGAGCCAGCGGCGTGCATTTGACCCTCGGCACGGCGAATGAACGTTTCCGTGTCTTTCTGACCCCCCTCCCACCAGTGCGTCTGCCACAGGCTCGGACAAGCCGCCATTTTCTGTGTGCCAGTGCCACCGGGTCACGTAATTGGGGAGCAGAGGGGGGTCGGCGAGGGCCTGAGCTCCACCCCAGCATTACAGACCTGTGCTGGGACCGGAAAGGTCATTTCAGAGAGCCACGTCCACGTTCAGATGTGGACGTGGCAAAGGAGAAAAGGGAAGAGTCTCTATCCCCAGTGGCTGCCGGAGTCCGTGTTCCCAGCTGCCCTGGTGGGTGCAGTTTGGTAAAGACACCGTCGGAGCAGGGAGCCTACCGAGCTTCCGGCCTGGAGGCTGGTGGGCTCTGGAGCCTTCGAACGGCCACCCCGCCAGGCCTGCTTGCTCCTCGGGAGTCGGGCCTGTCGTCCGTCTGTCCATCCCTGACTACAGTCCCGCCCCGGCCAGCCCCGTGTGCCTCCCACTGCCGGCGTGTCCGAGCTGGGCACGGCTTCCCCAGCCAAGGCCAGAGGACGTTTAGGGGCTCTGGGCCATCCGTCCCCAGTTTGCAAACTTTGTGCGGAGCGGGCACGCTGGGTTTCTGTTGGCACAAATGGGGCTGTGCAGAGGCCTCGGCCCACAGACTGGGAAGAGGGGCCAGGCAGGCGGTGGCTCTGGGAACCCCCTCTCTGTGGGTCTGCGGCCAGTTCCGAGACGCTTCCCGTCCCCTGGTGGACGTGGCCAGACTGTCCCGTTCGGGCAGGGCACGGGCCGCGGGGATTTCCTGCCCCCCACCCCCCAGGCATGGGAGGAAACAGCGGAGTGGCTGCGGGGGCTGGGCCCTGCCGACCCCCTGGCCTTTCCGCTTCTAACTGCTGCCGTTCCGAGAAGTGTGCCGGAAAATCAAAAATACACTGAGTTTCGGGGCTGCTGAGAAGTGGCCGCTTCGGGCCCCTCCCTCCCGACGGTGGGATGGCCCGGGTGGGATGGCCCGGCCGGGACGAGGTCAGAGCGTCTCCCTCCTCCCTGCTAGGGTTTGGGAAGCAAGGGCGGAAACAGGCTGGGATTTGGGGATCGCTTGGGCTTCCTCTCTGGGGGGGTGCTTGCCATCTCCCCGGGTCGCCCCACTTCCCCGCTCAGCCTAGCGTCTGCTGGGCCTGCCGCGGCTGTGATGGACATGTGGCTTCACTTTGGTGTCCCTGGTTCCCAAGCCCCCGCCGCACGGGAGGCAGAGGGGGGATTAATCCCCATTTTACAGCCCAGTTCATCGAGGCCGGGGCTCAGACCCTTTGGCAAGCTCTCGGGCTAGGAGACCGGCCAGTTCCGACCCCCGTCCTACACGAGGCTGGGACCCTGCACTCAGCATCAGCATCAGACTTTGCTCTCCAAGCCAGCTCACCCCCGCCACCGCCTGTGAGCAGCCCTCCTGATTGCCCCAGGCCAGGACTGCCCTTCCACCCGGACTCCCTCCTGCTCTCTGCGCCCCTGTGGCTCCCTGCGCCCTTCAACCCCGTGTGGGTCACCCTCGTCTCCGACACGGGGTGTGGCCTGCACCGGCTGCGGGCGTGGGTGGGGTGCACGGCCGGCGCTGCCCCCTGACGCGAGGGCCCGTCTGCGCTGGGCGGCGGCCGGCTGAGAAAAGAAACCGGATCCGTCGGCCTGTTTTGACAATCGGTGCTGTGTGGCGGGAGGGCCGTTTTTAATAAGGAACCCTGGGTGCTTCAAGGCCTCGCAGCCAATTAGCAGACGGCACCCAGGTGACTCTCAATAATTAAACGGGCCCGTTGCGTCCTCCAGGCCTCTGCTCTTGATGTGCCTTTCAAGTGTGCCTGGCCACCGCTGCCCTGGCAAACTGGTCCCAGAGGGGGTGTTGCCCCACCCCCACCCCCCATGCTGGCCGCTTCCTTCTCACCGGCCCCTGGGCACACCTGCGCACACCTGGGCACACGTGGAGAGATGTGGCCAGACCCGATGGTGCCCTGGTACCAGGCTCTCCCACAGCCCCACTACACCCAATTTGGAGGCCGGCTTCAGAAGAGGAAACTGAGGCCTGGCCGAGATGTAGGCTGCCCACCCGTGCCCCAAATGGAAGCACCGTTGTCTCCCCTGTGCGGGACTAGGAGGCCAGCACTGAAATTCCCTGGTTCCGGGCAAACCGGATGGTGGTCTCCCGCTGCAGGGCAGTGCTGGGTGCTGGGTGCTGGGTGCCCCTGGGCCTCTGGGGCCCCGTCCGCCGGTCTACCCCTCCGGGGTGTGGACTCAGGGCTCTGGCCCCCACCCTTCTCTGGGGCGCAGCGGGCCGGCCAAGGAGGACTGAGCCATCCGCGACCCTGCCAGTAAACCCGGCCCTTGGAGGTCACTTGCAGGGAGTCAGAATTGTGCTTTCTTCTGGAAGGCGCCAAGTGAAAGATGAAGTTCGGCTGTGTCTCAGGCCCTGGATCCCTTTCATCTGAACGCCCGCAGAACGTGGGAAAATGAACGCCGTGTCCTACGTTCTCTGAGCAGTGCTGAGTGACCCACGTCGGAGCCAAACGCTGACCCGGAACGTTCTTACCTTCCTGAGTGCCAACTTTTGTTTCCAGACGATGTCCTTCGTCTGAGGCACGGGGTGGGGGGTGGGGGGGGGAAGAGCCCGGGGGGTGGGGTGCAGGGCCCGGTGAC